TCGTATGTAGCTCAATGCGAGACAAGGCGTCAGCATTTGTGTCAAGTTTGCCTTTTTTATAGATTATTTGATAATCAAATTCTTCTAATTTGATTCGCCATCGCACTAGCTTTGAACTTGGAACAACCATTGCAAGGGTTTGTGATCGGTTATAATATTAAATTTTCGGCCAAATATATAGGGTCTAAAATGTTTGGTTGCCCAGATAAGACAAAGACATTCCTTTTCAATCGTTGAATATTTTTGCTCGGAATCGTTAAGGGTTCTAGAAGCATATGCAATAGGGAGGTCATGACCAATAGGTCCTTGACTTAGAATGCATCCAAGGGCGACGTTGCTTGCATCACAAGTGAGATTGAAGGGTTTATTGAAGTCGGGGTATTGCACAATTGGTTCGTTAATAAGTAGATTTTTACATCTTTCGAAACACGATAGAAATTCTTCATTGTGGATTATTTTGGCACCTTTTTTCAAACATTTGGTTAAGGGTTTGGTAATCCTTCTGGGGTAACGATGTGACCTAAGTACGCCACTTCTTTCTTTTCAATTCTGACTTGTCGAGCTGAACTTTAAAGTTAGCGTCTCTGAGTCGGTTGAAAACATCTGTAAGTTTTTCGATGTGTTCTTGAAGAGAACTGGAAAATACGATAATATCATCAAGATAAACAGCACACTTTTCAACGCTGGAATGTAGCAGGGGCATTTTTGAGGCCAAATGGTATTCGAAGAAATTCGTGATGGCCATTTTCAGTACTAAATGCTGTTTTTGGGATGTCCGATTCGTTCATTTCGATTTGATGGAACCCACTGGATAGATTCAAGGTTGAGAAATATTGGCATTTGCCTAGTTTGTCTAACAGGTCGGAAATGTTCGAAAGAGGGTATTTTTGATCTGTTGTTATTGAATTGAGTTCGCGAAAGTCAATTACAACTCTCCATTTCTGTTTACCAGAAGCGTCCAATTTTTTAGGGACGACTGAAATTGGAGAAGACCAAAGTGAATCACTTTGTCGGATAATGTTTTGATTAAGCATTTTGTTGATTTGAGCTTTTACCTCGCTCTTGTGTATATACGGGTATCGATAAGTTTTATTATAGATTGGAATTTCATTTGTTGTTTTGATATGATGTTTGATTTTACTTGTGAATGTGAGGGGTGTTTTTTTTTTATAGAAAATATAAGACTATTTTTGACACAATTTAGTTATGGCATTTTTTTCTTCTAGGTTTAAATGATTAGTTCTAATCAGAGATGAGTCAAATTTTGGAACTTTTGGACTGTCGTCGAAGTTGTTTAAATTAATTTGCGTCAATTGCTTTTTCTGAAATTTTTCTGCTTTTAACGGCTCTGAAAAGTCCAACGTGATTGGTTCACAGGTGTTGTTTAGAATGGTCGTTATGGCAAATCCTTGCTTTGCTATGGTTAGGCACTCTGGAATTTCACAGTTGTGTATTTTTTGATACGGAATTATTACTTCACCGTTGGGCACAGAAGTTTTTACCTTTATAATTTGTTCACATCTTGGGCCAATTGTATTGCAGTTTATTTCTGGTTTGGTTTGGTGAAAAGATAGTTTTATTTTAGTGTAGGGTGTTACTAAAAGTCCTTGACGAAAATCTAAACTTGCTTGGAGTAATTTTAGATTATCGAGTCCAATTAATCCATCAAAAACATTATGAAATTTAAATAGGAAAAACTTTAAATGAAATGGTTTAGGTAATTGGAATATTTTGGAAGCCGGAATCATTGCACTATG